GCGGCGGAGCGCCCGCGGGCAGCACCTGCTGGCGGCCCAGGCACCGGCCTTTGGCGGTGAGGGAGGAAGGGGCGGCGGGAGCGGCGGGAGGGCGTGGTCACGGCGACAGCGGGCTCCTCAGACCACTGAGTGGGGAGACTAGTCTGGCTGAGGAGATGGGGAGAGTCTCCACACCGAGGGGGAGAGGGCGACAGCGTGCGAGGGACCGAGAAGAGAGTAAGGGAGATGGCCCAGGTCAGGAAAGGCAGCCAGGTGACAGACAGCCTGACAGGCCGGTGAAGTCCAGGACCAGCCAGGTGATAGTCCAGGGGCAGCTTGCGGGTGGTGGGCAGCTTGAGTCACTCCCTCAGCAGAGGTGATCCTTCTGGAAGGCTTGGAGGCCACGTGGTCGGAAACGCCCCTAGACACGGCACACACACACACACACACACACACACACACACACAGGCTCCTCACTTTTCATTCTGTGCTAGTTATTGGTTCCAAGGCGCCTCTCTTTCCAAAGAAATCACACGCTGCCTAAGGACACGGCCCGATGGAGTCCTCGGGCGCAGGGACCTGCATGAGGGGGATGCTCACCTGTGTTTCTTATACAAGGACGATATTTGGGGTGACCCGTGTAATGGTGGACTGTTAATAGCAGGAGATGGAGTGAAGTTGTGGGTGCAGTTGCTGGGCATGGACGTGGGTCCACGGTGCGGGAGCGGGAGGGTGGCTGTGAGGGGACTGTGTGAGGAAGGCCGGGAGCCCCTTGGGGTGTCGCCCTTGCGTGAATGCAAAGCACAGCCGGTTGGTCTGTGGAGGTGGGGCTACGCAGGCGCCACATACGTGAGATGGTGAAAGCAATAAGTGAAATCCAGTACACCTTAGGGTTCCTTCTGGATTCTTCCTTTGCCTACCTCTGTTCTCCCTGTTGGTGTTACTAAGCAGTGGATTTGGGAATTGGGATTTGGGAGTCGGAGGCCTGGTTTTGATACCATTTTTTTTGTGCAAATGTATGATTACAGCCTCTGTCTATCAGCTCCCCCAATCTAATTAAAGGATTAGACTAGAAAGAGTTCTCAGATCAATCCGACCAGTTACAGATTTTGCACTTGAACAATAAACCAGGAATCCTCCCATTTGGGGATATGCAAAAAGACATCTGCTGTAGTTCTTTCTTCCCACCCGCCCACTCAATTTTAGTTTCATTGTCAATAATTAAGACTATTTCCTTACTCCCTCCTCTCCAACCCCCAACCCCCCACCCCCACTTTCCTAGTCACTTTTCCACATCATTTTACTTTCATGGCTAAATCATAGTTTAAATCTAGATCTCTGCCTTCTGAGTGCCAGCATTTCTGTTTTGAACTTACTGGTTTCACTTTATAAATTCATGATTGATAAACTCAAGAGGACCTTGGTGCTCCCCCCAATAATCATTCCCCTGGGTTATCCCCAGATTCCCTTGGATTATTAGTTCCTTCACTCTCCTTGATCACAATTTTATAATGACACCTCTCAACTCAACCTCTAGCAGCTTCTCTCCACATCCTCATGCTTGCTTCCTGGTTTATTAAGAAAACTAGAACAATTAGAGATGGTTTCCATGGGGCTCCACCACCACTCACATACTTTTTGTGCAACCATGCCCACTTCCTCTGCTATATCTCCTATTAATGTGTGTATGACCTTCCGCGAAGGTTTAGCTACTACCCCATTTCTCTTTCCCTTTATGGAATCATTCCTTGAAAGAGCACTCTCTGCTATCTCCAATTTTTCTCTTTTTCCTCTCTTGCACTTACTCCTAGAACCTTATCTTCATGCCATACTATCCAGATGGCTGCTCTAAGTTGTTGGTGTCCTCAACCTTGCAAAACCTAACAAGTCATTCAATACTTACCCTACCAGTAGATTTGTAACTATTTATTATGCGTTCTTTTGAAGCATGTTTTTCCCCCCTTGGTTTTCAGGAACAGTGGTTCTGTCAGAAAAGACTTTAGATCATGTCATCTCATCTCTGATGGGAACTCCAGTGGCTTCCATCTCCTCAGAGTACAAACTAAAGGGTTCACCTTCATCGAGGGGGCCTCCCTGACCTGCCTCCTTCCCTTGAAATCACTCACCTCCTCTTCTGCCACATTTGCTTTCTCTGCTTTAGCCTCTTGGGTCTTCCTATCATTTCTTGCCTATTTGGGCTCTTTGCTTCAAGAGCTTTTTTTAAAAAAGATTTATTTATTTATGCATACAGAACTGGGATACAAGCCAGAGGTACAGGGGTGGGATACAAGCTGGGATACAAGCCAGAGGTACAGGGGTGGTGAGAGCATTCACCAGGGACAGAGTGGGGAGCAGAACAGACAGATCAACGAAGTATACTGTTGAGGGGAGCAGCAGGCGGGTCAGGAGAGGTCTGCGGCGCCATGTGGATCACCTCCGGGGCAGGCGGAGATCGAACCCATGGGAAGTGGCTTTAGCTTCTTAGTGCTGTGCTTCAACCCGCTGAGCCACCAGGGAGGGCCTGCTTCAAGAGCTTTTATACTCGCTTTTCTCACTTGCTGAAATACCCTTCCCCAATATTTATTGATCCCCAACTTTAATTTTCATATCTGTACTGAAGACTCCCACTTATTAGGGTATCTTTGTATGTTTCCTGAATCTCTAACATCTGCCCCCATAATAATTCATATTATTTGTCCCCCTTATTTTGTTTTCCTTATTTTATTGTCTCTCTTCATGACTAGAATGTAAACTTTGTGAGGACAACAATTTTTATTTTTCTTTTTTGCTCACTACTGTATCCTCAGAACTTGGAAGAGAGCCTAAGCACATATTAAGCATGAAATATATTTGTGTTGAATTCATAGGCAGAGGGATAAATGAATAGATGAAGAGAAATACAGCTTTTCCTGTCTGGCTTGTCCTTGAAAGTACACATATATGTCACAGTACGAAAAGAGTTGAAAAGTAATTCTGTTGTCAGTTGTGGGAAGAGACTTCCTGTGCTCTTTTTAGCTTAGAGAGGATTATGTGATCCTTGATTCATCTAGCTGATTAAGACCTGCTGACCTAGGTAGGTAGGTTACCTAGGTAGGTAATCAGATTTATAAATCATAAAACAGTTCTTCCTTTCAAAAATTATTTCATTTTTACTTTGCTTAATTAACTACTTGATGACTTAAGAACTCTTGGTGAGTTAATTAATTCAGTGGAGGGAGGAATTCTTTTCTTCTTTTTTTCCCTTTATTCATTATACATTTAATGTAATATTTTTACATATATACATATATAGACACACATAAGATATGTGGCCTTGTGCTTAATACTTTGAGTAATATTTCAAAGAATTATATCTTTTCCTTTCTTTAGAAATTTAGACCGTACTTGATAGAACAGCTATACATGTGGTAGTTAGATAAAGACATAAAACAAATGACTAGTGCCAACTAAATAGTAAAGACAGTAAAAATAGCAAAGGCAGTAAGTTTAGAAGTGAAGTTTAGAAATGAAGACTGAACTGTTTTGAGAAAATTAATTGATTACATAGAGTGAGTTGCTTGGGGAACCTGTATAGCTTTCTAATAGCTGCTGAGATGGGTATTTTCAATCTGATTTCATTTTATTTTTTAACATATTTTGAAATTCAGGGATCCTCAATATACCACATTCAACAGTAATTATTATAGTTCAACAGTCATTACTATACTTCAGAAATAAATAGAAAGTTTAAGTATTGCCTATATATAGAACATTAACACTTGCAGTTAATACTTTATAATATGAAAGTTATATAATATAGCTAAGTGTAAGAGTTTGTCAAATGTGACTCAGATAGGAGTGCAACCAAGAGAAAATTTTGGCAAAATTTCTAAGTGTTGGTTATCGCACTTGCACGATGTGGAAATCTTTGGTTTAAAACAGGCTAAGATAGCTTTTGTTTGAGATAGTATTGTTTTGTGAGGCCATGTGTGGTGTTGAAGACTGTGGGCTCTGAAATTAGGCTACCTGAATTCAAATTCTGACTCTGCTCTTTGTTGATCGTAATTTTGGGCAATTTGATCTGAGTCTTTATTCTTATCTTTAAAATAAAAAAAAAACAATAATTCCTTAGAATTGTGAGGAAGAGATGAAATAATTCTTGTCAAAGTATTTATCATAACATCTTTACATAGTAAGATTTCAATATTAGTGATTACTACTGTGTTCCTACTTCTGTTCTCTGTGCTTCATTGAATAAATATTACAGAAATCTTCTGCCTTTCATGACATTTGAATTTAGATTTATCTACTTCTAATACTAATAACAAAAGGTAAACTTAAGGAATTGAGTGGTCTTTTGTGATTTGTGATCTATTAACTGCTTTTTCTAACTTTTTTATACAGATCTGGGTAGGGGAAATGTCCACGAGATATTATGCTGTGAAGGTAAAACTTCAGTTAGGTAGATAAATACAGTTGCTTAAATTTCCTAAAAAAGCAAATATGATTCATGATTATTTTTCCTTCTCTCATTTTTTGGCAGGAAATCCTTTTGTGCTGTTACTCATTTACACTTGTGCAAGACGTTAGAGTTTTCAAGGGCAGAATTTATCTCTAAACAGAAACATGGAAACTAAAATACATTTACTCTACCAGGTATTGTTTTAAAAAAAATTTCTAAAGATGTATTGAGTTCTTCTAGTGGTCATGTATTAAACTCTTATCCCAATAATCCATGTAGTATCAAGAGGTTAGAGACCATATGTAACTTACAGGAGAGGCTGTAGGTAATGTAATTAATGATATGGGAGTCTAGTCTAAAGGTAACATAAAGGACAGCAAGTTTAGTCTTCTTATCTGATTAAGGGGATGTACCTATCCATTGGCTAGTTTTGTGTTGAGTTAAAAAAAATCTGGACGTGGCCCTCCCTGGCGGCGCAGCGGGTTAAAGCACAGCACTAAGAAGCTAAAGCCACTTCATCATGAGTTTGATTCCCGCCTGTCCCGGAGGTGACCAAATGGTGGCAGACCTCTCCTGACCTGCCCACTGCTCCCCTCAGCAGTGTACTTCGTAGATCTGCCTGTTCTGCTCCCCCACTCTGTCTCTGGTGAAGCCTCTGGCCGCCCCTGAGCCTCTGGCCTGTACCCCAGTTCTGTATGCACAAATAAATAAATTTTAAAAAAAAATCTGGACGTGATAAGAAGACTTTTTTTCCCCCTAAAGGATATTATACGAGAGGAAAAGGACTTACTGAAATAGGAGGAGGGGGAGACAGACTTTCAGTAGTGAAAACTGTGATCATAAGATCAGCAAGCATCTCAAGAACTAGGCAAAAAAGGGATTTTATTTTATAGAGAGGAGTACATAAAGCTATGAAGAATTGGTAAAGTGGGATGAGGGTGTAATGATTAGGGAAGTATATTGGGGAGAATGCTTTACTGTGAGGAACCTGTGTTCTCTGTATTTACTGGAGGAATCTGTGTACTGGCTCTGCTGAGGGTGAGCCTGGAGCAAGGAATCTTTACAAAAGTTTGATTAAAAGCATTTTGTTCTGAGTAATCAGCGGAGATGACAATGTTAATCATTTATGGAGCAAAGAAAAGCAATTTGAGGGTGTTTGTATTTATGACTTTTGTCATAGGCAAACAACGGTGTCATCCATTTTAAGTCTTAACTAAATCATATAGGAACCAGGATTCTTTCTGTTAATCTATTTCCCAGAACCAAAAGGTTGAGGGGAATACTTTGATTTTCACTGTTTACCTCTAGTGAGGGTCACAAAGAAAAAAAGGGCAAAACTCAAATAAATCATAGGATCATAAATGAAAGAGGAGAAATTACCACAGACACAGCAGAAATCCAGAGGATACTTGGAAATTACTATGAACATTTATAAGCAAGCAAGTTCTGTAATTTAGATGAGACAAATTCTTAGAACTATACAATAATCCAAAACTGAATAAAGAAGGAATAGAAAATTTAAACCAATTACAAGAAGTGATAATTGGAACAGTAATCACAATGCTTCCCCAAAACAAAAGCCCAGGGCTAGTTGGTTTAAAGATAAACTAGTGTCTATCCTATAAAAATTTTTAAATTTTTCAAAAATTTGAGAAGTAAAACTGTAACAGGGTGGTCCCTAGGAAAAGGGGAAGTTCCAGGTTCCCTGCCCCACCCAGGAGGGTGGAGCTGAGCAGACAAAAAAGGAGAGAAGCAAAGGAGGAGAAGGAAGTGGGATGGAGACCAAGAAGGAGACCTGAGGAAGCCACATGGAGCAGCAAGCATGTGATGAAGAAACCGAGCTTGTTTCCTGACCCCAGACTGGTTAAGGCAGATGTGGATGAGATGCCTGTAGGGAGGTGACTATGGCAGTGTTTATACTGATTTTGATTTTGCTCTTTTCCTCCCAGATTTGTCTGGCCATTTCTGACCCTTTTCCATGGGTCCCGGCCAGAAGGTGCGTTAGGCTTGTGGCAGCTTTCAGGCCTTGCTTTGGGCCCATCCCTTTTGGGTGGACTTTTGCCCATGAGGGGATGGATAACTTCAGGTGTTTGATTTAGACATTACATTCTTTGTCTTCTGTATGGCGTACTCACTGTATTAACGTCCCTTTTCATTAAAGTTTTATATGTTTTGTGTTGGTGCGGCGGATGGCAGAACCCACTTAGAACAGGCAAAGTTTGGGGCTTCAGGGGTGCCCCTTTTTCCCTGTCCTGTAACAAAACTACAAAATACATTTTACAAAGCCATTATTATACTAATACTGAAACCAAAGACAAAAATAATAATAATAATAAATGAAACTACAGGCCAGTCTCCCTAACGAACACAAATGCAAAAATCCTCAATAAAATCTTAGCAAACTGAATCCAACATTACATCAAAAGTATTGGCCCTCCCTGGTGGCACAGTGGGTTAAAGCACATCACTAAGAAGCTAAAGCCACTTCCTCATGAGTTCAATTCCCGCCTGCCCTGGAGGTGACCACATGGTGCGGCAGACCTCTCCTGACCGCCCGCTACTCCCCTCAGCAGTGTACTTCCTCAATCTGTCTGCTCTGCTCCCCACTCTGTCTCTGGTGAAGCGCCTCGCCGCCCCTGAGCCTCTGTATGCACAAATAAATAAATCTTTAAAAAAAAAAAAGTATTATACACCATGACCAAGTGGGATTTATTCCAGGGACATAAGATGGTTCAACATCTGAAAATCAATTAATATAATTCAGTATATCAACAGAAAGAAAAAAAATATTATCATATCAATAGATGCTGAGAAAGCATTTGATAGAGATCAATGTCCATTTATGATAAAGGCCCTTTAAATGCTCAAGATAAAAGGTGTATACATAGTAAAAGCCATCTAGGACAATCTACAGCTAACATCATTTTTTTTTAAAAAGATTTATTTATCTATACAGAACTGAGGTACAGGCCAGAGATGCGGAGGGTGAGAGGATTCACCAGGAACAGAGTGGGTAGCAGACCAGGCAGATCGTCGAAGTACACTGCTGAGGGGAGCAGCGGGCGGGTCAGGAGAGGTCTGCCACGCCATGTGGGTCACCTCCGGGGCAGGTGGGGATCAAACTCATGCGGAAGTGGTTTAAGCTTCATAGTGCTGTGCTTTAACCCACTGCGCCACCATGGAGGGCCACTAACATCATTCTTAATGGTGAAGAACTGAATGCCTTCCCTTTGAGATTTTGAGCAATACAAAGATTCTACTCTTACCACAGCTTTTCAGTATATTACTGGGCATCCTAGCTAGAGCAATCAGGCAAGAGAAAAATATACAAGGAATCCAATAGGGGAAGAAGTAATACTGCCATTATTTGCAGATGATAATATATAGAGAGAACCTGAAAAAAGTTCATGGAAAAACTAATTAAAATGATTAACTAGTTTAGTAAAATAACATTTAGTGACAGATTTGACTCAGAGGTCATATTTGTATGTGCAAAGAGAATATGACTGACTGTGGCACTTGATTGCTCCTTAGGGAGAAGAAAATATTGAGTTATCCTGTGATGGTTCTAGTTCTATTCCAACCAAGTTACCATCAAAGAATATTGACAGCAAAAAATACATCAAACTTTCTAAAACAGTAGAAAAGAAATTTTCACCTCAACTTAAGTGTTGGAAGCCAGAACACAAAAAAATGTAAGTTAAACTCTGCATGTAGTTAGTGAATATACTTTTGCAAACCCAAAATAAAGCTCTTCTGAGAAGGAAAATAGACTGAAATGGAGTTAATAACTAGTTATAACTATATGAAGTTCTGTAAAAATCCTAATAGTAGGGGGTTCAGATATAATCCAGGTTGGTGAACACATCATCTAACAGGGAGGTGATAAACCCCAAGTCTGTGTGGACAGGACCCTACCAGACTTCACCCTACCTGTCCCTTCATCTAGCTGTTCATTTGTATCCTTTGTCATATCCTTTAATAAACTGGTCAACATTTAAGTGTCTTTTTCAAATTCTGTGAGCCACTTTAGCAAATTAAGCAAACCCAAGGACGGGTTGTAGAAATCTCCGATTGCCAGAAGCATAGGTGGCAGCCTGGCCTTAAAAGGCATCTGAGGTGAGTTTTGGGCATTCTTGTGTGACGAAGTTCTCAGCCTGTGGGATGTAACACTATCTCCAAATAGCTGATGCAAGAGTTAGTTTAATGGAGGAGACCTGGCTGATGTTGCCAGACTTGTTTGGTGGAGAATCCCCTTCCCTGCCAGTTAGGTGTCAGAAGCGTTGTGAGGGTGGCCGTAGTTGAGAGTAAAGGAGAAATACAGGAAGAGAACGGAGTTTTTGTTATTCTGTGTTATCAGTTGTATGTTTCCTCTTCCATTTCTGATTGTATTCTCTGAGTCCTCTTTTTTCTTAGTCCAGCTAAAATTTTTCAACTTTGTTTACGTTTTCAAAACACCATCTCCTAGTTTCATCAGTCTTTTCTATTGTCTTTTTTAGTGTTTATTTCTTCTCTGATATTTTTACTTTCTTCCTTCTGCTCCCTCTGACCTTAGTTTGTTCTTATTTTCCCTAACTTTTTGATGTATAAAGTTAGATTGTTTACTTGATCTTTTTTCTTTATGTAGTCATTTATCACTAAACTTCACTTTCAGATTTGCTTTTTGTTGCATCCAGTTAGTTTTGGTATATTTTCATTTTCATTTCTTTCCAGATACTTTTAAATTTCCCTATTGATTTTTTTCTTTGCCCCCTTGGTTGTTCAGAAGAATGTCACTTAATCTCCACATATTTGTGACTTTTCCAGTTTTTCCCTTGTAATTGATTTCTAGTTTAATACCATTGTGATCAGAAAAGATGCTTGATATGATTGCAATCTACTTACGTTTTTAAAGACTTGTTTTGTAGCCTAACAAATGATGTATCCTGGAGAATGTTTGTATGCTTGAGAAGAATGTGTATCTTCTGTTGTTGGATAGAAAGTTCTGTATGTATCTGTTCAGTTCATCTGTTCTACTGTCTTGTGTAAGTCTAATGTTTCCTTTTGATTTTCTAGCTGGATGATATTTCCGCTGTTAATAGTGGATATTAAAGTTTCCCTTACTGTTTTTATACTGTTGTCTTTACCTTCAGATCCATTAATATTTGCTTTATATATACTTGGTGCTGCTTCTATATTATGAGTGTATAAATATTTGCAATAGCTAAATTCTTTTGATTATTTCAGTCCTTTACCATTATGTCATGACTATTCTTATCTCTTATCACAGCCTTTGGCTTAAAAACATGTATTAAAATTTATAGCTGCTCATGCCCTTTTTGGTTTTCATTTGCATAGAGGTACGTTTTCTGTTTCTTCACTTTCAGCCTGTGTGCTTCCTGGTATAAACTTGAGTTTTGGTTGTTTTTTTTTTTTTTTTGCTTTTTATTGAGTAACATTGGTTTACAATGCTGCATAGGTTTCAGGTGTACAATTTCTCACTTCAGCAACTGTATATTTTATGTCACACCCACCAGCAAATATCTACCACTACCAAGCTATTTCCTCTCTCCCTTTTCCTTTCTGGTACCCACCACTTTTTTTTTTTTTATCAGAGTCTAAGTGTTTGCTTTTGTATCATTTGTTTGATCTCCCTTCACCCCCATATTCTAAAAGTGAATGGAATCATATAGTATTTGTCTTTCTTTGTAATTTCTTTGTGATTTATTTCACCTAGCATAATTCTCTCAAGTTCCCTTGTTGTTGCAAACAGCAAGATTTCATTGAGTTTTTTTTACAGCTCTCTCTCTCTTTAACAAAGCTGAAGGAGGTAGGGATTACATTGAATCTATGTGGAATTCCATCCACACTTTCTTAATCCATTCATCATTTGGTGGACATTGTTTCCATACTGTGGCTATTGTGAACAGTGTATGTTACACATCACACACCACCAAAGCACCCTCGTCTCCTATAGTCTATTGTGTACCCTCCCCACCTCTCTCCCTCTGGTAACCTTAATTCTACAGAGAAGCAGAAATTTAAAAAATCAATAGAGTAGTTTATGTATTGAAAAACACCCTGTAGAAACAACTATTAGAATATCTACACATGAAATAATTGATACTGGAGTTTTCTTCAAAATAAGGAATGGGAGTGGCAATAGAGTTAAGAATGAAATAGAACTATACAATTAAAGGTGGGTGATGGGGACTCTGGGGTTCTCAGCACAGTGTTCATATACTTTTATATATGTTTGAGAAGTTCCATAAATATGAAAAGAAAAAGGAAGAAAACAATTCAGGAATTATTCCAATTTTCTATGCAATTTAGGTATGAAACATCAATATTCCTATGTGAAGACGTACAATCCTCTGCAATTTCAGGAGGAAAAAAAGTCAGGAGAAAGAAAAATTTACAAGTACAACTGCATACTAAAAGACCAGAGGTAAATAAAGATATCAAAATAATTCTTTTGCCCTCAAGTGTTTTCCTTAGCTCTCAAACATTCCATTGTGTTTTAGTCCAGGTGTTGAAACACTAGTTTAAATGTTTCTTTTTGTATTTCTTCTCTTTCCTTTACTCTTTCTCCTCTACTCTGGCTTTGGAATGTCTTTCTCCAGTTAATTTGAGTTCTCTTCTGCCTGCATTCCAGAGTTGTTACAAATTTGGGGCTGTGTTAACTGAGTGCTGTGCCCTGAGATTTAGTGTAGATTTGAATTCTAAAGTTTGGGCAAAACAATGGCTATAACTGATCAAGAATAGTTCTCTCTCTACCCCTCCTCCTCTTCTTTCTCTCCCAAACTGGAGTTGAGAGAAAGACATATTTTACTCTGCATACTCCTTCTATTAGGGCATACATATTTTCCCCAGGCCCACTCTTGCTGAGAACATTACTTCAAGAGATCAGCTCCATGATCTCAGTACCAATACCTATCAATCTTGTATAGCTTGAGAGACTTCTGTCTATACCTTGCATGTTTTTGAAAGGCAAGACTGTAGGTTCTATGTAAAATTAAAGATACCTATAATTTTCATCTTCATTTTTTAATGTGGCATTTCAAAAAATTCTACCTTGCTGTTTGCCTCTTTTGAGTTATGTCTTGAATAGTGCACAGTGCTAAGTAGATATTTTTTCCAGTCATGAAAACAAAATTATATTATCTGAATAATTGTGTTGGTTCTTAATGATATTTGGCCACACAGTCAAAGCTTCTATATGTAACCTCTAGTCTGGTGGTCTTGTGTCCACTCTAGCATAGATTTGCTCTGCTTTACAAAATCCATTACTTTCATTATACAAAAATGTACCCCCTAGTAGAAGGAGTATGCAGAGTAAAATATGTCTTTCTTTCAACTCCAGTTTAGGAGAGAGAAGAAAAGAGGAGGAGGGGTAGAGAGATGAACTACTCTTGATCAGTTTTAGCCGTTGCCCCCATGAATTAGGAAATGACTGGTTACATACTTAATAAAAGGTTTTACAAAGGAATATTTTATATTTAGTTATATTATATATTTTAGCTAAATATTTTATATTTAGTTATATTAATTGGAATATAATTATCTTTTAATTAGACAGGAATGCTGGTTTACCATGGTGGTATCAGACACTGACATTCTTGCTTTTGCCTGTAGATTGCCCCTTCTTCTGTGAAGCCATCAAAGAGGAAGACGACTGTAAAAGAGCACGGTTTGTGCAAGTTGCCGAATATGTACAGTGGTCATAAGACTTCACCACCCCTGCGCTCATCTTACTTTACTCGGTATTTACACCCTTGTAGTTTATTACTTAAATGTTGGATTCAGATTTGGGGCTTTTCTTTCAAGAATCAACTATTCCTTTCAGATAAAGTATACTAAATGGTTTTTGCAAGCTAAGAGGCTATGTTCTTAGGCAAGATGGTGTGGTGACTTTGCATCCTGTATGTGGGATTGAAAGACTTAGAATTGAGTCCTGATTGACCTCCCATGCTGTAACTGTACAATTCACTTTATATTGTTGGGCCTCAGTTTCCACATCTGTACAAGAATCATATACTAAATGGAGCATTCTTATGATTTCAGTTATTTACAAGGTATGGGATGAGATGAATTTCCCTTTTGAGATGTTTTTACTGCCAATTTATGAAATCTGGGGTTCTTTGGCTGTTTAAAGACATTCTGTTTTGCCTTATTATAATAAATTTTTGTAAAATTTGCTGGACTTCAATTAAGAGTAGGAAAAATTGGATCATAGCCAAAGATAGTAGGTCATGGAGGATATTCTGGAGTATAGATATTTCCACAGGGAAATGTCTAAAAGAAGGTGGTAATTCTCGGGTAAAGAATATGTAATTCACTATCATTTGGACAGTTGTTTTGGAAAGGTTTATATAGAACACTACCTGGAGAATTTTAGCATATTCTTAGGGTTGCTAATATTTGAATGGGCTCTTTCTGTGTTTGTGTGTGTGTGTGTTTGGTTCTTTCTTTTTTTGTATGTTTAAATATTTTTTATATAATTTATTTATTTGCATATATTTTACATCACTGTTCACTTTTGTGCGGTGTTTGCTTTCTCCTCAGACATAGCCCCCACATTCACCGTGCACCATCCCACAGCCCCTTGATGCTTTCTAATGTCTGTTTCTACTACAGGAGAAGTGATGTACTTTATAACCTCTCCCAGACATTATATGAAGATGTACCAATAGGACATTTTTCCTCACAAGAATTAACTGGTAATTATTGGTTCTGGAATTTCTCTCAAAAATTTCCTTATTGTGTGCTTCCTAGGAGCTGTTTCGGTAGCTTGTGTCTCTTTCTTTACTCCTAAAGGTTTATGCTCTCAACTAATAGTACACAACATAGCAAATGCTGCTGGCTGTGAGTAAGTGGAGTAGATAGATTAATTCATAATTTTTTTGTATTGTTAAGATAAGCAAAATATAATATGCTTATTCTAGTTGAGTTTTTTCATTTTTGGAAAAAAGTCTGTTACACATAGTAAATGCATTTGTAAGCACTAGAATCACTGATACTCTAGAACTTAGTCCTTGGTATCTTAATATTAAGGTTTATATTTCCTTTCACTTCATGATATTGAGCTTTTTTTCTATCTTGGGGCAATCTTTGATGTTTATGGAGTTATTTGGTATAATATCTTCTCCACCCACCCATTTATTCAGATATAATTGGTGTATAGCATTTATGTGTAAGTTTACCATATACAGCATAATAACTTAACATGCATATTGTGAAATGATTCCCATTGTAAGTTTAATTAACACTTATTATCTCTATGAGATACAAAAAAGAAAAAGAAAAAAGTTTTCTTTTTCATGTGGCAAGGACTCTTAGAATCTACTACTTTTTTTTAGCAACTTTCAATTATCCCCATACAGCACTGTTAATTATACTCATCATGTTGACATTACATTCCCAGTAATTATTTATCTTAGGGTTGGAAATTTGTTCTTTTCTAACATCTTTATTCAATTCATCTATCCCTACCCATTGCCTCTGGTAACCACAAATCTGGCCCCTTATTCTATGAAGGTTTTTTTTTTTAAATGATTCTACATATAAATCAGATCATTTGTATTTAGCACCATTTATTAGCACCAGTTCCCTTTACATTTTGATCAGATCTTTATCCTGTTTCCTTTTGTGGCTATTCTAAACTTTCGTGACTATCTTCAAATCCTTAACCCTATCATCTAGTTCTTCAACTCTTAAAAGAGATGACTTTGCTTTTCATAGAGAATTAATAATGGCTGTTGGCAAGACTCTTCCTGAACTCCTTGCTTTTTCTAACTATAAATATACCTGGAAATAATGTCCAATCATTCCCTGTTGTCTCATTAAAAAAAAAAATTCCCGGCCCTCCCTGGTGGCGCAGCGGGTTAAAGCACAGCACTGAGAATCTAAAGCCACTTTCTCATGAGTTTGATTCCCGCCTGCCCCGGAGGTGACCACATGGCGTGGCAGACCCCTCCTGACCCGCCCGCTGCTCCCCTCAGCAATGTACTTCGTCGATCTGCCTGTTCTGTTCCCCCTCTGTCTCTGGTGAAGCCTCTCACTGCCCCTGAGCCTCTGGCCTGTACCCCAGCTCTGTATGCACAATAAAATAAAATTTAAAAAAAAAATTCCCCTTCATGGGACTATTCCCTTCACTTTTCATTGTCTTTGATTCAACATTCTTTTACTTCCTCAGATACTATGTTGTGTCAATTTTATAATCTTTGTTTCTCAGAGAAATTTATTGAGAGTTCATCATTAATTACTCTTTACTTTTTATTTCATTAAAATCTGTTTCCATCTCAAAAACTACTACAATTCCTATTATGAAAGTCACTAGTATTAATTTTTTAGTCTTTCTTGGATTTAGCACTGCTATCTGCTGCCTCTTTTTCCTTAAACCGAGTGTCAATATTTTTGAGAAACTGTTTGGAATGAGATACCAGGACTAGAAAAATGAAAAATTCTGCTCCTTAGGAACTGACAGTTTAGTAAGGGATATTATGGCAAGCAATCATAATAACAAGAGTGTTAGCTGATATACATGCCAAATGATACAAGAGCACAGAAGAATTTATGTTCCTAGGAAAGATGAGAAGTCTTTGACTATTTGAGCCTTGCATGATTTTTCTGGAACTTTCTGAGGATTCTTTAGGGGACTCATATACTTAGAGGTGTCACTGGCTCCAGATACACCTAAATCAGTTCACAAGATTGATTTTTTTTTTTAAAGATTTATTTATTTGTGCATACAGAACTGGGGTATAGGCCAGAGGTTCAGGAGCGGCAAGAGGCTTCACCAGAGACAGAGTGGGGAACAGAACAGGCAGATCGACGAAGTACACTGCTGAGGGGAGCAGCGGGCGGGTCAGGAGAGGTCTGCCACGCCATGTGGTCCCTTCCGGGGCAGGCGGGAATCGAACTCATGCGGAAGCAGCTTTAGATTCTCAGTGCTGTGCTTTAACCCGCTACGCCACCACGGAGGGCCCACAAGATTGATTTTAAAGCAGCAAATTGGAACAAAAATGTTTCTCTTCTTTAATTTTTTAATGACCATTCCTTTTATTTTATTGAGAGTAGGTAGAGGAATTAGGAATGATTCTGTTGAATTTATTGTTCTGTTATGTGTGTTTAGCACTTCAGAAAGCCTGTAAAATTTTTAGTAAAATTCGAAGAGGTAAAGTTTATGTAAATGACCTGCCAATGATCCTTCACACCTTGAAGATTTCTCTGAGTGATTCAGAAATGCTAAAGGCACTAACAACTATTGATATTGATGGTAAGTTTTATATTTTCCCCGTAAGTTTAGGGTCTATAGAACATGGGTGTAAATTGTATGTTGAACAGATTAATTACAAATGATAGGAAAACTAAACTTATTATAAGAACTTTTTCTGCTTATTTATAATAATGATATTTAAAAATTGGGCCTTAGTTACAAAATTGGATTGACTGATCAGTGGATTGGATTATGACATACTCCAGACGATAATGACATTTGTTATTTTTAGACTTTATATTTTTGCTAATTGCATGAGTATGAAATGGTATAGGATAGGGTAACTTTTCTGAAACAAGGCAAAAAATTTGAATTATAAAAGGATAGATTAGTTTATTTGACATATTTGATAGCATTACAATTAAGAACTATTATTTATCAAAAAATGCTTTAAAGTAGAAAGACAAGTTACAAACTTGGAGGTATTTTACAATTCCTAATTGACAAGGATTAATTTTTACAATGTTTGAAGAACTCAATAACAGGCAACAGAAATGAAAAATGAGCAAGACACATTGACAAATATTTCACATAAAAGACTATATATACAGATAGCTAATAATCATATAAAATATGGCATACTTTTAAAGTCTGGATTTCCAGCTCTAGTTGCTATCAGAGATCATCTGTACATTAGCATGAAAAAAAACCACTCCATATGTTTCAACTCTCATTCAAGCTAAACAGAAAAATTTTATTGAAAATTTTTTTTAAGAAGTAAGCATTATTTTTTATATGAAAAATGAGTTGTTTTGGGGGTAGGGATGGTTTAAGCGCAATGCAGTACTTTGTGCATTTGTCTTAATGCAGTGGAGGGGTAGGCAGACAGGCAGAATGGCCCTGAGGAGATGTAGGAAATTCTGTGAGGCAGAGCTTTCATTTGAATATCAGCTGTGTCGTAATCTTCCCCCCCAATCATTAGGATAGAGGATTTTTCTAGATGAAATAGTCCTGTCCTTTTAAGGTAAAATGAGGTGTTTGTAAGATTAGCATGTTACCTGTATCTTTTGTACCTGATTACAAATATGCATATTAGAGCCTTGAGCAAAGAGTGCTGTGCTATTGCTATTCCTAGTCTGTATCAGCCTTTATTCCTGCTTTATTACACAATTACAATACACAAATATTTTTCTGGTAATTTTATCTTTACATTCTATGTTTAATATTGACTGCTCTTGTGTGTAGACTATGGCATTTTTTATAGGTTAATTCTGTTCATATTATAAAATTGCATTTTAGTCTTATTAGGGGGTTTGCTGATAAATTTGCTGATGGAGATGTTTTTTCCCTTCTGTTTCTCCTTTTAGCTAATGGAATACTGTATTTTACAGATTTCCTTAAGGCAGTGAATGATGTTTCTTATTTGTTCTCTCAGGATCCAGGTAAAAAGCTCTTTAAAACTATAGTATGATTTTGATAGTAGCTGATTTATATGAATTTGATTTTCTTCCCAGAATTTTTTAACTCCTTTTCCCTCTAGTAGTCTAGGTTCAGAAAAATTACACATGACTGATTTCATAAAAGTAATTTGAAAATCTGGATTACTGTCATGACAGGTTACTTTTCTGTTGCCAATCTCCACTTTTTCCTGTGCACAACTGTGAAATTTACTTTCTTAAAACATGATTTTTGTCATCATGTTGTCCTCCCTCAAAATATAGCTGCTCCTCATATTATCAAAAGAATCTGGCTTGAACTCTTAGCTTGGTGGTCATAATTTTCTTGCAATTATTCATAAGTTTGCTTGCCATTCCTCCTTCTTTCTCCATGTAATATTTTCTAGGTAAGAGCCCCATGTTCCAGTAAATTCCCACACATGCCAACCTTACTCTTACTTTTATACCTTTGTTCATGTCAGGTTCCCTCCTTCTCCCCTTAAAAAGTCCCACATTTGGTTTGTATCTGTCTTTAACAATACATTTTTTTTTTCAAGATAACTGTATTTCTTCCTAAAATTTTCAGACACAGATGGGTCTCCTAATAGCCATATAAATTGTAAAGTAAGTGATCGTAAGGATTCTTCATGCTAATGAGAGAATAGTGCTTCTAAAAGTTGAGGTCTCTGTTGTTCATGATCTAATTTTAGCAGTTCCTTAGATTTTTTATTAAGTAAGATCAAATTTACATTTATTTATGGTCAGCTAGATCTTACTTTCTTAGAAGCAAGTATTTGTGAATATAATATCTTCACATTCCTAGGTAATGAAGCAAGAGACAAGAAAGACTTTAATATTGGGTTATTCACTTGCATAACAAATGTTACTGAATGCCTCTCATACACAGCAATACATGATATAAATAAGCTTGTCTTGCCTTCCCTTTTTTGTTTTAAAAATTGGGTTATTTCTTATTGAAGTAATGTTTGTTTACATGAATGTATATGGTTTCGAAGTGTAATTTCTAAATGTGTGCATTGGGCTAGGGATGGATGTCACCACAGCA